GGCAGAGTCTGGCAAACTTCCCATGTCGTACTCAATATGCCAAATACCAGTAACAATGATGGGTCTCATTCTCCTAGCCCCGAAAGAGCATTGAATATGGCTCTTTTAAAATATCAGGGCTAACACGTTCTAGGTGAAAAGGAAGCTCAGATAGAGAAGAGAGCACCAAATGAAGGGTGTTGTGAGGACCCTCCCAGGGTGGGAGAACCATGTTTAAAAGTAGACTATAGACCAAACCTGATTGCCACTCAATGCCTCTCTTGCAAAACACAGTACCCAAAAGAAGAGAGAGAGAACAAGGGGGAATACCCTGCCACAGAGGCAGGATGGGACGGGGGAATGGGGGGTGGGGGGATGCTGGGACCCGTGGTGATGGATGACAGGCACTGGTGGAGGGATGGGCACCTGATCATTGTATAACTGAAACCCAAGCACAAAATTTGTAAGCCTATAACTGTACCTCATGGTGTTTCACTAAAAAAATAAAAATAAAAATAAAAAAATAAAGAACAAAAAAAAAGAAGAAGAACCAAAATAATTCATTCTGTATTGTTTGTTGTGAATAAACCACTGAAAGCTATCCAAAAAAAAAAATATCAGGGCTAGGAAGAAGGAGACGTGACTGGTGCCTGCTCGAGGCAATCAACGAACAATATGATCGTGATTGTGAAATGAACAAATATTGCAGCTTCAACTATAGGTAAAGTGAAAAACTTTATTAGTTGTTAATTACTTCATAATACATTGCATCAAAATTTATCAACTTAGAACAAATGAACAATTATTTATTTACAGCTGCTGTAGTTAAGAAATATTGGAATGTTTTGAGTCTTTCATAAGGTTACAATCTATTTATTGGCCAGAAATCCTTTCTCTGAAGCCTAAGTGTGCCTAGAAGATTCATTTCTAAGATTATTCTTGTGGCTGTTCATAAGAGATGCTAATCTTTTGCTACGTGGAACCCTCCACAAGATTCCTCACAACATGGGTTTTCTCAGAAAGAGTGGCACAGCAGAGGAACAGCATGGGAGTGATCCTTGCATACAGAGCCAGTAGTTAGCTCTGATCACAGCCAGATATGACCCCAAAACCAAACAAAACAACAACAACAAAAAAAGCAGAACAATAACAAAAAATAGAATGATTCAGACATTTAAATTCTTGAGTGCATTTATATATCTTTGGAGGAGATCCATGCCCGGAGGTGCTCAGAGCTTACTCCTGGAAATGCTCGGGGCTTCTGGCAGTGGTTGGGGAACCCTGTGGGGTGCCAAGATCAGAATCAGGTCATCCATGTGCAAGGCCAGCACCTTACTTACTGTGCTTTCACTTCTGACCATGGGATCAACCTTAAAAATGTTTTTATTATTAGGTTACATAGTTAACATCTATAGCATTGTTAACTATAATAGTGTTAACATTTATAATAGTGTTAATATTTATAGAATTGATGTACAAAAATCACTGTACCCACCATCTTTGGTGTTAATTTAATGATTACTACACTCTTCCAGTTGTTCTCCATATCTGTTTGGTATTCAGGCACAAAAATTTTATGTCCAGAATACTATGATAACAAAATTAAGACATGAGATATGATGAAATAGTTGGCTAGCATCTATGGAGCAGAGTACATTACCTGGAATGTGTCACTACCAAACACACTGTGTCACTAATTACAAAGGGATGTGAGAGATTAATACAAACTCATTTTATCCTATTATAAGTTCAAAGTATGTGTTTTCCAATGGTAAATCTATTGTAACGCTTCCATATGAAAGAAACTAAATTAAGAAATAGTTTATGGAATGTCATAAATAAAGTAGGATGCACTTCGCTGATAAGTTTTAAGAATCAGATCTAGTTTTATATGTGCTACTAACTAGAATTGTCCAATTCAGTTTTGGTAAGTTCTGGGTTCTTGTGAAGGAATGAAAGATTGTCACACAGACCACTGTTACTCTGGTTTCACGGCTCTTTTATGTAACAACTAAAGTTGGCATATTTCTGTTAGATGGAACAACTGAAGAAATAGGAACCTCTGGGTTCTCTTATTCTCCATCTTGTATACCACCCTCCTTTTATTCTTCTTGTACACACATATCTCTAGCTTCTGACCCCCATTTATAGACAGCCGGGTTTGTATGTATGAATACATATATATACACATATATTGTCTCCCCACCCCTTGCTCATTTCTGATATCAGATTGGTTGACCAACAGTATGGACACACACATTCTCTCTCTCTCTCTCTCTCTCTCTCTCTCACACACACACACACACACACACAATCAAATCATGTGTATATATATATATATATGTATATATATATACACATATGATGGACTAACTGAAATTTCCAACTACCATAACTGCCACTCCTCTCTGACAGTGGTATGAGATCTTTGCCTCTTTCTAACTTCTGCTTTTGACTGGCTTGTGGGACCAGCCAGTTAGATTACATAAGAGAAACTAGCTAAAGGTTTAGATTACCCAGCCCTTCCCTCCACTTGACTCCCTATCCTTACTTCCTCCTAATCTGGCCTGTTTTTGATGGCTTCCTTCTTCTGATCTGGTCTCTCCTTATTTCTTCTGTAACAGAATCACAGCATCAGGAAAGTCACTTAATCTATTTTGGTTTTATTATAGCAACTAAAAATTAGAAAAAATAGAGTACTGTATGATTTCTGAGACTAATTGATCTTCTCAATATGTTTTTTGTAACATTCTGATTAAAATAAAAGATTCTCAGAAGGATCCATCTAAAAATACATGTATAATAAAATCTATGGTAAGAGAAATGCTTCACAAATAGATCAATAGTATAGTGAAGTAGTCAAAGGAGGCAATTTTATCAGAACGAAATTAAAATGGCATTCACTTGTGACAAATTCACATGCTCTAAGCTCCTAGTACAGACAAGGTTTTTTAATAAGCTTTAATTTTTATCACAGAAAACTTTTGCCTGATTTACTTTTCACTAGTGTATTCAGTATGCTTCCAATGATATTAGAATCATCTGGATTGATGATGGTCAGCACACAAACTATAGTATTTCCCACAGGCTGTGCCCAACTCAATATTATTGCCACTGAAGTGGTGGACACCAGTCTTGGCCAACATGGTGAAATACTTGATTTCAGATTTCCTGGACACTGGGCACTTGTTGGCGAGGATGACCAGCTGTGCCTTGCCGTGCCAGATCATCTTCAGCGTCTGCTTGAAGCCCATTACGCACTTGCTGTTTTTTTCATCACTATGTGAAGCCAGGAGTTGATGGACGCCAGGGACTTTCTGTCTTCTTTGAGGCCAGAATCTTTGTACCTTACGTGTGGTACAGCCCCCACGAGCAGCCACCAAGAAGGCAGGGGGAGAAGGAGAAAGCCAGACCAGACTAGCTTTTTAAGTAGCAAACAAACGTCTTAGAGATTCCTCCTGTAACGGCAGCAGCAGGTGTTCCCAAAACAGAGTTCACGTAATAATATATGCAGCTAACTGCTATTTCCATGCCCTCTACTTTTAAGATCTTTATTGAGACTTTGTATGGAAAAACCACATTCCATTTAACTTCTTCACCTATTGGTGAACATTTTGGTTCCTTCCTCTTTGGTATTATTAAGAATAATGCTACTGTGAATCTCTATGTAATTTGTGGGTATTTCTCTTGACCTAAGGGAATTTCTGTGTTGTAGGAATGATTTCTTAACTGTAAAACTGTGTTCCATAGTGACTGCCCCAGTGATTTACGTAGGTTCATGGTTTCTCCACATTCTTCCCCAAGCTTATCTATTATATTTACTACATCGACAGATATTGATGGCTAGTGAGAAAACTATAAATTGGAGACTTGCTGACTCCGCCTCCAGAAGATCAGATATCTTACTGATGGAGAACTTCTGCATTGAAAATTTTGCATTGAACATTTTGACCATTGAAACAACTGCTTTCTGAACTAAACTCTTCCTGATGCTGGAAAGAAATTCCATCTTCGAAGCACAGATGTATATAGTTATGTTCATAATCAAGATCACTGTCACTGTCACTGTCCTCCCGTTGTTCATCGATTTGCTCGAGCGGGCCCAGTAACGTCTCCATTGGAGACTTTGTTGTTACTGTGTTTGGCATATAAAATACATCATGGGTAGCTTGCCAGGCTCTGCCGTGCGGGCGAGATGACCGAGTGGCCTAAGGCGCCAGACTCAATCAAGATAAAAGAAAGAAAATTTCCTTACATGAAAGTTCCCTCTCATCAACAATAGTTCATTTTTATTACACAAATGCCACTTCATAGCTATCTGCCTCAGAAGTATCCCAGAAAATAGTCCAATATTTTAATTTTAATCTAACACTTCACTTATGATAAAACATATTTCAAGCAAGAAAAATTCTGAGTGCTTATTTAGGGAAAAATTCCCATCATTTATCCCTAGATTTAGTTTAAAAGCTTTCCTAAGGTTTTTTTCTTATGCAAATGTAAATATTAAGCAATAAAATATATGTACACTGCAGTTTTTAGAATCTATATTATTAGGTATATTGCTTATTCAGAAAAGTTTTTGTAAATAAATCTGCCCTAAATAAACTTACGTTTAAGGATGTAAAATGATACAGAGTAATGATTTAGTACTGAAATAAAATTTTGTCAATTTTATTAAAAGCGGATTCCATTTCTTAACATCTTTAAGTTTTCAAGACCATTTTATTATATTATTTCATAGTAATAAGTTGGCTCAGTGAAGTTGTCACTGATAGGAGTACAAAATTAGCACCACATGACTATAAATGCAGATAGCCACAATCTTTCCAATATGTACAATCTCCCTTTATACATACACACATATATATATACAGCTAATAAATAACATTTAAGGCCAAAGCATTGTGAAGTCTTAGGAATTCATTTTCTAGTGTTAAATACTGATTTAAATCATCTTAAGTCCATGCACCTTTAGCCAAAACCCAAACCCAGGAAATTAATAAATTAGCAATAAAGGGGGATGCAACGACAAATTACACATAATTTTATTTTTTAGAGATAATTCATTCCAAACCTGCTGATTTTAATCACAATATTCATCATACTTTATAAAGATACAACCATATTTCTCACATGAAGTGCTGTAGTTTTGGCACTTCCAGAACAATTTTTTTTCCAATGTGTTCCAATACATTCCTTTACCATTTCCCTTTTAAACCACACTGAAAAATAAAACATACATGCAGGGCTTTATATGTTAGAATGTTTTCAGATACCAACATATGTTTATAGTTCATAGTCCTAGGAATAGTCTCTGAAATAGTTTCTTCCTTATAACTTTATATTAACATATAGAAAAGCATTCTAAAATATGAATTTACTTTATAAGTATGTAATTGCTAACTCAACTGGTTGTTAAAAACAACTTTCATGGCCTTTCGTATGACTCTGGCAATTAAGTGCTCTTAATGGTTGACAATCATTCTTTATAAACACATCCCATTAACTTTTTCATCTCTTAATAAAAATGGTTCTTATCTAAAATTTGTAGAAGTCTGCAAAATGCAAACTCTGAACCTGAATACAAGTTTTCCTAACAAATAAAGGAATAAAGAGATGCCTCAAGTAAGACTGAGATAAACCAAAATTTGATTATTGACTACTGGATATTAAATGATTTCAAATTGATAAGTATAAAATTGACAATATGAAAATATAATTGTGGTATCATATCTTCTTCCAAAGTTAAAGTTATGTGTCATTCAAGGATTGTAGACTTTCCTTAAATACCTACACAGAGGAAATTGTTAAAATACAATCTTAAGACAAAGAAAAGGAGGGGAGAATTTTAAGCAATAAGCTGCAAAGACTACTGCATATTAATCTTAATGTTCTTTTTAAATTTGTAACTAAATTATGATGCAACCAATTACATGGGATTATTTTAATGGGTTAGTGGTTATTATCTATTCTTTCTTCAAGAACTGGGCAATTCATGACCAATGGCAAAAGGAGAACCAGTCTCCAAATAATCTGGTATTTAAACTTCTAAGTAAATGGCTCTAACTGATGTTACACAAATTCATTATCTACATTCTGCCTTGGAGAAGGAACAAATTACATTCTGAGGAAAGTACAAATTACAAATTAAGATAGTAGGTTCTAGCCAATTTTAAATTATGTCTATATTCACTACATAAAGAAGCCTTATTCTTTTATCATGGGCCCAAACAATTCCGATTTTTTTTCTCAAAGAACAACATGCAACACTTTTTATACATACGGTCTTTAAACATTAGATGTACTATTTGGCCACTATACACCTCAAATTTAATTATCCACCTTTCAGTATTTGAGGTTGTCCTAAAATAACTAACAAAAATATATCTGGGCTTAATACTTGGAAAAATACATATTTAACAACCCAGAGCACTGGATATCTTTTTGCAAAAGCTGTTTCATTCTTCACAGAATTTATGTGTTCTTATTTTTGCAGATTTCCCTGGTTTCTGAAAAATAAGAGGAAGAAGGGCAATTTACTATCTTAATATTTTACAATCATCCCCTTTTATTATGGAAAAAATATTCAAACCGATGTTCAATACAAAGTTTGTGAGAATAAAATAAGAGCTGATGTGAATAATGAATCTGAGACAGTAGCAGGCTTATAGGGATACAAGATGATTCATATATACTTAGGTAGAATGGAATAAAAAGCATTTACTGAAAACTAAGACAAATTATTTTTATTTTGGGGCGTTTTTTGTTGTTGTTTGTTTTAGGGACACACCCAGCAATGCTCAAGGATTACTCCTGGCTTTTCACTCAAGAATCATTCCTGGAGATGTTTAGCCCACATGGAATGCCAGGGCTTGAACCTTGGGTGGGCCACATGCAAGGCAAGTGCCCTACCCACTGTACCATCAACTGGTACAGTAAAATACACAAACTATTTTTAAAAACTAACAATATTCATTTTCAAAACTTGGTAAATGACATTTTTATTTATTCATTTTATTTTCTAATAATATGATACTTAAAGAGAGTTATCAGATGAGATATTATTTTATTTATTATTATTAATTATCTATTATAATCATTCATCTTAATTGTTTAATTAAATTAATTAATTATATCAATTCACTTAGAGTGGAAGCAACTACAGTTTACTAGTTTTATTTGTAATGACCTCCTAGATAAATATAAAATGTATAAAATTAAAGCTGCCTAAATTGATATTTAAGTCAATATTATCTCATTAGTCCTTAATCAGATGAAGAATGTTATATTCCCAGGTATATTTTGTAACATATAAGGTGACAAAAATTAGACATATATATATGGAATTAGTTTTCAACATTTTGAAAATTTTTTAGCATTCACAAAGAATGATTTGGGTACAATGTACGTGCCATGTGTATTTATGCATTGTTTGTATGTGATGAAAAATATAGTATAAAGTCTCTACTGAGGTAATGATTTTATTATTCTGCCCAGTTTAATACAAGTAAATACTCTTCGAGCTTACGTTTAACTCAGTCTCAATCTCATGTTGAGTGCTCTTAATGTTTTTAATCCAAGACACCATTTTGTCACTCAAAGTTTATATGCCCAAATTTTATTTTTGCTAAAAAATATAAATAATATATATATTATGTATGCATAAAACCTGGGGTATATCTATACATATATATATTACTGATCTTATTTACTTCTTACCTATTTTTCTAATTTATCCATAGTGAACATGAATATTATATTATAAAATACAAGTTGAAAACAGGAAAAATTCCTTAGTATCTTTGCCATATTTTTTGAATGGGTAGTTTTTATCCTTCACTTTTTGTTTATAAATGGAACTAACAAAAATATATCTGGGCTAGAAGACAAACTAATAGCAATTATATCTTTTATTTCTAGATGATAGTGTGACTTTCTCATTCTTTATGGTGTCTGGTTTATATGATAATCTAAGATTTCACCTCTTTGTATCTATTACCCATTAGCACTTGACATTTGGCAGGAGAATGAGAAAAAGAATAAACAAATTGGCATATCAAAGGAATTCAGGAGAGGATGAGAGAGTCACATGCTTCGTCTCCACTTAGCACTGGTGTTTTGGAAAGATTCCGCTGGCAGCTGCCACATGGATTAGTGTTAAAGGTCAGGTAGAAGAGAGCCAGGGAGTTTTTTTGAGATGGAAAAAGAAGTAGTATCCTCTACAGTCTAACTCCATAACTCCATGAGCATTTGGGGAGTTTTGTGATGATTGCTCCCTGGTTGCCCCTTTGGCTCTCTGCATTGAGTCTACTTGCACCTAGAGAATCAAGAACTATAAACTGCATCTTAGGTTCTGCTTCCCTGGGGATAAAAACCACAAAAGGCTGCATCCACAATGATAACTACTAACTTGTGTTACATGATTTTGTATATAAAAACTGTAAAGAAAACAGGAAAGCACAGAAAAAAAATATAAGTGAAGTTTGTGTGGTTGTCCAAAAATAAATCTAAAGCCTGAATTTAACACAGAGGTCACAGCTGGCAGAAAGAATAGAAAAGGAGGGAGTATTTCCAAAAACAAATGGTTCAATATGATAAATGCACAAAAGGGCTATTAAAGATCCCCTGATAGCATGATCACAAGAATCAGTGATGCGTGTCTTTATTTATTAGAGGGTGGAGTGGAATGCATAAAACAACATCTCTCAAAATGCAAGCTAAGGGTAGCAGAGTTTTAGCCCATGATACTTACCAGCCAGACCTTTTATTCAGAGACTTATCATGACATTTCACAAATACCAAAGGTGACTTTCCTTTTTGTAAATAAGCCACTTTCTCCCTAGAACAGAAGATCACCCTGCAGAAAAAAATAAACATGCACTGTAGTACTGTCCTCCCGTTATTCATTGATTAGCTCGAGGGGGCACCAGTAATGTCTCCATTGTGAGACTTGTTGTTACTGTTTTTGGCATATTGAATATGCCACAGGGAGCTTTCCAGGCTCTACGGTGTGGGCTGGATACTCTCGGTAGCTTGCCAGGCTCTCCAAGAGGGTCGAAGGAGTCAAACCCAGGTCAGCCACGTGCAAGGCAAACATCCTACCCACTGTGCTATCGCTCAGAAATGGTAATCCAAAGCTTTTTAAAACCTATCTGATCATTCTGATTAGTTGTTTTGATTTTTTCTTTTTTTTTCTTTTTGTATCACACCCAGTGATGCACAAGGGTTACTCCTGGCTCATGCACTCAGGAATTACTCCTGGCGGTGTTCAGGGGACCATATGGGACGTTGGAATTGAACCCGGGTCAGCCACGTGCAAGACAAACGCCCTACCCGCTGTACTATAGTTCCAGCCCATGTTTTGATATTTTAATATTAATTTTTTATTTAGTTAAAGAACTGTGATTTACAAAGTTATCGGTAAAGTTTTAGGCATATAATATTTGACATCAATCACACCACTAGTGTCAACTTCCTTCCATCAGTGTTCTCATGCTTCAACACCCCACCTCCAAACCCCGCTCCACCTGCCACCGTGAGACACACATTACAGAGTTAGTGGTTACAGGTTAGGTCTCATGTTTTCAATGTTATTGATGCTGTGCTTTGGATATTTAGCTATACCACTCTCCCACATCACCGGTATGACCAAAACCTCAACTCCTGTTCTCCCATTACTTTTCTTTCTCATCTTCTTCCTCACCCCCTTGGTTTCTTTCCTTCTCTGTCCTTCTCCTCCCTAAACTCTGGGGTCTGGACCAATAATGATCTAGGCTTCCCCCTTTTACTTATCTGTAATACCTAGAATAATTGGATAAGGAAATATAATTTTTTTTAATTTTTATTTGTTTGGGGAGCTATATCTTGCAGTGCTTGGGAGCTACATGGACTCATCCTCAGAGTTCACCCCAATACTGCTCAAGAGGTCATTCTGTGATAGGGATCAAATCTCAGTTCTTTCTCATACAAATCATTAGCTCCAGCCCTTTGAACTACCTTCCAGACATTTTTATATTTCTCAAACTAAACTGTTCACACTCATACTTTGGTCAGCATCACTTCTAAATGCATGGGTTTTATTTGGAAGTCTCATCTACTGATCATCAACAAAGCTAGTCAGTCAGTGCAGACGGCATCTGGGTAGTCTGATTGGTCTTAATAGTCCATGGCTTTCACCAAAAGGTGATACAAGAGCAATTTTATCACATGGTAACATCTCCATTAGAGAATTAACTTTTCATTCTGCATGGCCCCTCAGCCACAGCCTCCTTTTTATTTATTTTTGTTACCAAAACAAAGCCTAAACAGAAATAAACTATTAATCCTAATTTAAGGAATAATTTTTACTAGTAGTAATGGCACACTATGGTTTCAAAATTCCCATACATTTAATAGAAAAGTTTTAAATTTTATGTGACTCTACACACTTCATTTTATAGATATATTCTAATGGGGCCTGAAAGATTGTCTTGGAAGGATAACCTTTTCCTAAAGAGGTTGATTGTAACCTTGAATGCCAAAGTAACATCTCTGATGCTAAATATTTGAAAAAATACTGTTAAATGAGAAACTGAGATTCCTGACTTCTCATGACAGTTTTCCTTCTATGAAATGCATACAGACTTTGCTGTCATTCATTTTTAGGCCTCATTACATTCTACTAGTACTCATTCTATTTCACTCATTCTCCTAAAAATGTATGAATGTCATTATATAGGTCAATGATTCTCTACCTTTTTCATAACTACAGATTTGCACAAATCTGTGAACAGATAGATGATTGAAAATCTCTAATCTTGGCCATATAGGTTTTTATTTTTTGACTTTTTTTGCATCATACCCACCAATGTTCAGGGATTACTCCTGGCTCTGCACTCAGGAATTACCCCTGTCAGTGTTCAGGGGACCAGATGGGATGCCAGGGATCCCCAGGTTGGCCACATGCAAGACAAACACCCTACCCACTGTACTATCTCTCCGGCCCCCTAGGCCATATAGAGTTTTTGTTTGTTTGCTTGTTTGTTTTCTTTTTGGCTCACACCCGGCAATGCACAGGGATTACTCCTGGCTTTTCACTCAGGAATTACTACTGCTGGTGCTCGGGGGCCACATGGGATGCTGGGAATCGAACTAGGGTCAGCTGTGTGCAAGGCAAACGCCCAACCTGCTGTATAATTGCTCCAGCCCCGGCCATATAGTTTTTTTTATATTAAAAAAATTTTAATAGTGAGACATCATGAGGTACAGTTGCAGACTTACACATTTTTGTGCTTGGGTTTCAATTATATAATGATCAACTACCCATCCCTCCACCAGTGCCCATTTCCTACCACCACGGATGCCAGTATCCCTCCCACCCCCCATCCCGTATAGTTTTAAAGATAAAAATTACTGAACTTTTACCTCAATGTTGAAATCGCCAGAAATACTGTCTATATATTATAGTGAGTCTAAAATTAAATTTTAAAAATTATTTATTTACTTTTTTTGAGTTTCTCCTGCTTTGACTCTGATCTTCCCAACACCAAAGCCTGGGCTGCTCCACCAGTCCGACCAGCTGAAGTATGAATCACTCTCCCATTGGAGTTTCAACATTAGCAGCTCGCCAATATCCACCTCCGTGTAAATGAGAAAGGAGTATGTCTTATTTGTGGAAATTTCAGGTCTGAATGAAAAAGGAACATAGTCATTAGTTCATATTTTTAAAAAGCCTTTTTTACCTCCTCCTGAGCTTTTTTGAAACTTTTCCTTCCTCCCTAAAAGTAAATAGCTTTATAATTTGAGAATATTTTTAATGCAAAAATAATTACCAGTGATGTAAATAAGATAAATGGCACTCAGTTAATGGCACTCAGTGTGTTTTAGAAATCCAGTGTGTATTTAGTGTATTTTTAAAAATATCTTCCCCTTTAACCTCCCTCTCCCTCTCTTTCTCTCTCTTTCTCTCTCTCTCCCACTCTAATCTCTCCCTCTCCCCGCCCTTTCCCTCTCTCTCTCTCTCTCTCTCTCTCTCTCTCTCTCTCTCTCTCTCTCTCTCTCTCTCTCTTTCTCTGTATCCTTTTCTTCTTTTTTTTTTTGTGCCTCACCTGATGCTTAGGGGCTACATCTGGCTCTGTGCTTGGGAGACCATGAGGGTGCCAAAGATTAAACCCAAGATTCCAACATAGCTCAATGCTTTAAACTATCTTCCTGGTAACTTCTCCTTATCCTTCTTTCCCTCTTTACTCCTTCTTCTTTTCTTTCTCTTTATTCTCCTCTTTCTGCTTTTTCTCCTTCTTCTCTCCTTATTTTGCTGCTGCTTCTTCTCCACCTTCTTTTGTCTCCATTTCCTTTTCCTTCTTTGTTTTTTAATCACGAGTACTCAGAATATTATGTGGTGCTGGGGATTGAACTTAAGCCTCCCATTTACAAAACCTGTGTACTATCCAGGTTTTTGAGAGATCTTGCAAGAACTTTAAAACCTTTCAAAGTGTAATTTTTATTTGTTTCTATTTTTGCAGCGCTGGAGATCAAAATCAGAGCCTCACAAATGTACTTTACAGTTGCAAAGCTCGATCACTGAGCTATACTCCACTAACCTACTTTATTTTTATCCTAATAACATTTTTCAAAAGTTCTTAAAGAAAAAAATCCACAAGTCAAATTCAACGTTAGAATTTTTATGAATTCTCTTTCTATCTATATTGTTGCAATCTATATATATGCAATTCTCATTTTGGTTCATTACAGTTTTTCTTCACTTTTTTTGTCATGTTTGATCTAGTCTTCAATAAATATAATTAAGAACCTAGCTTTGCAAATTGTGGGCTTCAGCACCAAATATAGCCATACATATGTGGTCACAAAAAATAAGGCATCAGTGAACGGTTTCTGAGTGTGCAACGACCAAAAATAAATTCAAACTCAACTGTATGATTAACCCAAGGTGGTTTGGGGCAACTCTTACTTGTGTTGTAGTTTTCAGCTAAAAGGGGATGGTAAGTGGAAATACCTAAGAAGCCCTGTTTTAGAGCAGTTTTTTCCATATTGAGTGATAATATTCCCACATGGGTATTGAAATAATCTAGGGAGGCAGCAGTGGCCTCTGACACAGAGAGATGGGGCGAGGGAATGGGACACTCTCTGTTTCTTTGCTTAAAATAGATTTCCAGAGGAATGCTGTTTTGTTTTTTTTCTGAAAAGGAAAAAATAGGCTAAACAAGTTTGGGAACTTCTGGTAGAAGATTGACTTCATCAAGCTTTTCCATGGCTTTTCACTCAGGGATCACTCCCAGTTTTGCTCAGGGAAGCATACAAGGCAGGATGTAAGGCAAATGCCATACCTATTGTACTAGCTCTCCGGCCCCACATCTGCCCTATAACTTTAGAACATTCCATGTTGAACGTTTTTTCTATCTTTTTTCTACTCCTTTTCTGCTCCTCAGACAAATGGTTAAAAAACAGTGCCATGATAAACCCGCATGCTGGAGGTAATACCGTGTCACTTACAGGGTAAAAGCGATGTTCTCACTCTCAGCTACAGTGCCGAATAGAGAGATCTTAAAGGACTGGTCGGTCTGCGTATTAGTCACAGCCCCAGAAAAATGTATCTTTACTTGGTAATGAAAGACTGCGCAGAAGAAAATTAGAAAAAGTGCTGATTAGTCTTTGTGGAAACACCACACAACTCAGACAATTCAGATCCACAAAGAATACCTCACTAATGCCCAGATAAGAAATGCTCAAACACAAATATCAGTGTACCTTGAAAAGGTTTCTTTATCCCTCTATAGTGTTTATTAGCAGAAAATTTAGATCTTGAATTTGACTCTCTTTCAGAAATCAGCTTTTGTAGTAGACAGGGAAAATTCAAATGGTCTCTGAATTTCCAAGCTATCCTAGAATGTAGCCATCTTTAATGTTGAGATCACATCAAGAGGCCAAACACCCATAATACGTCCTCCATGAATTCCATCTCTCCTCAGTCATCCTTGTTCTTTAGCATCTATGCTAAGTATATTTGACATGGTACCATATCACTCTAAATGATCCTGTTTCTTCATATCTCCTGGATATATCTAAACCAGAAGCACTTTCTGATCAGAGATTCATATTCATCTACTATCCAGCACAGTATAAACTAAGTTCACAACAAAACTCATGTCTTCAAAAGATTACAGTATTTTCTCTACCTGCTTATTGTGAAACGTCAGGAAAACTAAAGGGCCCATCATTGATACTTCCTTGAATTATGGGTGCTACCAATCTCTACACCACCAAATATACATCTAGATTCAAATAAGCTACCTTACAAATTCATAAAATAATTATATGCAAAGTATAAAAGATTCTTACCTTCATTTAAAGCAAACTTTAGGAATTAGAGAACTTTTAATATTTCTATAATGAACCAGATGATAGATATTTCAGACTTTGGGGGTCATATAGTTTCTATCCCAACTATTCAACTTTGCAGCCTTAATCAATGCAACCGTAAGTGCATGAAGTTCTGTCATTATAAAACTTTATTTTAAAAAGTAGGTTCTATACTGGATTTGCTCCGTGGGCCATAGTTTGCTGACCTTGGATGGATGTTTTTAACTTCACTCTGAGCCTGGTACTGATGGACTAGCCTATGTTGACATCACAATTAGAGTAATATCATTTTTATTATTTCTACTGCAATGGGCAGAAGCATTTCTTATGATATGCGTATTATAAGTATAGTAAAAAATAGGACAAACATGATTTTCCTTATTTACAATAGTCTGTACCTACCTTTGTAAGGCATCTGAGAACGAGTTTTCAGGTACATTTTGCTGCTTCTTTTGGCTCTGACCTTATTGATCTCATAACCCAAGTTATTGCAACGATTCTTTCTGCAGCTCAAGCAGAGCCCTTTATCAAAAGCTTCTTTCGAATTACACCGGTAGGCTTTACTTGGATTTTCTTCATTCAACAGAGAGTCAATAAAAAGATGAATGGAGCGTTCATGGGAGCACTTCACCAGTTGGTCTACATCTGAATTAAAAGGACACAAAGAAATTTTAACTCCTTGAAAGCTCTTATTAAATATTAAATATTACTCCATTTCTTTTCACTTTTATTGAAATAATATAGATATACTGTTAGAATAAAATGGCCTCAGGGTCTAGTCCTATTAATCATTGAGCGCAGAGGTCCTATTTAAGGATACTTCTTGGTGGAAGCTGCTTATCTACCTTCAGGAGTATCAAAGTTTATGGAGAACCAAAAGTTCTCCATCTATGTCAAAAACATTATATTCATATATTTATGAGACTATAATAAAAGATATCCAAGATGGAAATTCATTTCTTTTAGTTAATGACATCTTTCATTTGTCTGAAAGAATCAAATACTTCTAGATGCTTCTAGAAATGGCCTATCAGAAACTTCATCATAAAAGGATAGCATTAAAGGAATAGTATTTAATAGCAGTTACTATGTATAATTTAGCAGAGCCACTAATTATGTTTTATTAAATAAATTATACAAATAGTCACTAAAGTCATAATAGTATACTATTATCACATATTTTAATAATAATTAAAAATAATATTAAGGTCTAAATTTTATAACTTCTACACAAAAGACCTGAACATTTTGACTTCAGAGAGATCCTTTAGTTCATAAAATTTTAAAGGTTTCTTGAAACAAATTATAAATTTAGTAACATGAATATTAAAATAGGTATTAGGATTAATATCAAAATTATATTTTAGCAGTGCCAGGGATCAAACGTGGGGTGTCTTCCTGGAAAGCAAGTGCCTTATCCTTTACACTACTGAACCAGTTTTGGAGATTTACTATTTTAGGATTATTCACTTCTGGTTTGTCTATCTCTTAAAAATGGTTGACAGGGCCAGGTAGATGGCATGTTTTGTATGTAGAAACCTTGGGTTCAGTCCCTGGCACTTTCTAGCTCCTGAGCAACATTGAGATTCAGAGCACAACTAAGTGAAACTCCCAAACCAAAGCCCAAGTAAACCCCCCAAAAGAACATGGAAGACAGAAGAAAGGTGAACTAACATCGCCTCTACTTTCAGTAAAATTCAAAATCATTCTGCTAGTCTTGGAATTATATACAAAGTAAACCAACGTATGGCAGATAACAGTTTATGTTATTAATAAAGACCATTGATTTTTCTTATCTAAATCTCATGTTTCTTTTATTTTAAAGTATAATACTTAGAGTTCAGTTTATAATGTAAAAAATAAAAGTAATATACCTGTCTGACCACAAGACTCAAACTATAAGGTATTCACGCTGACTATGATAGACTGCTTCAGAAATGCATTTGGGTAAAATTGTTTAGTTAGATCATATATTATGAAGAATAGGCAAGACACCGGTTAATGAGTTAACAATAAAGCTTATATTACATTAACTTTTAACTCCTATTTACCTCCAAGGCCTTTCTCTGCAATCACACGAATAGCTTCTCCAATGTTGCATCCTGGTTGGAAAGTGCCTCCATTAGGATAAATGTCAACATGCCCGACTGGTTTCTGGATTCCAATGCTACGGTCAGGCGAACCTCTGGTGAATGTGTGTAAGACATCTACAAAATCTGCATCATCAGGAGAAAGGCGACTTGGTGCTTCTGCATACTCAAAGTTAGGTCCAGCAGGATCTAGGCCTTAACGGGACCAAAAGATTAGAAAAGTCCTCAGAGATGTTTCAATGCCTTGTAGTTTTATTCTTCATCCTTATTACCTTACTGTTCCATTGCTTAAGTGATTATTGCTTATATATCATTTAATTTTTAAATGGCAGCAAAAGGAGTTATTACTTGCTCTTAGTTTATATTAATTGAATCATTAAAATATAAGTGTATAAAAGTAGGCTTAGCCTCTTCTAAAATAAAATTTAAATCCCTTAAACTGGACTTAAATTGCAATTTTCACTCAAGATGACTTGGTTTCATTTTGTAATATTAATCTTCTTTCCCTCCTTTCTCTTACCCTTTTTTGGAGTGACTAGGGGTCACACACGTGGTAGTGGGATTGTAAGGGGATTTTAAGGGGATTTTAGTGCTTGCACGCCTAGGTGTTGGTGTGCTTGCTATTGCACATTTGTGCTGCCAGGACACTCAATGACAGTGTTGTCATGCTTACAGGTCAGGTGCTCTGACACTGACCTCTTCTTGGGCACTGGTAAATCATTCCTGAGCCAGGCTAGAAGACAGTTATATTACTGGATTCTTTCTTCCTCTCTGTACATGACTCTGTTCCAGTGGTCCACTGGCCCAAAGGTTGAAAAATACTGGTTTGTTGAAGAGGTTACCATCTCCTCCTTGGAAGGCTATGCAAGCTAATGCTGACCTGCAGGTGTTTGGACACCCCTGCTCTGTACTTTCTTCCTGTGAACATTGTCCAGATGACTCTCTTTCTTTTCTCAAATGTCCTCTAATGGCGCTCCTTTAAAATGTTGTCAAGTACTTATGTGAAAGGTGAAGCAAGAGTTTTATTATCAAGCACACAAAAGAAGGGGAGAGATGAACTTCTCAGATTCTTAGAAAGACTCCGACTTTCCAGGCTGAGGACTCTGGTGTTTCTCAGAATCCAAGTGGACAGTCTTCCCCCAGGGCACAGTACTTTAGGAAGCCCCGGAAGGCATGCCCAGCTCGCAGAGACACCATGATGACTCACTGACTCAGACCATAGATCCTGAAGTCTCTGGATACCTCCTAATTCTTCCATACTGAAATTTCAGTAGGAGCACACCAAACTAGATGGGAAAATAACATAAAAGCCAACAAACCTCAACAAACAAAAACAGTAACACAGATGGCTCACCTAGCAGCAGCTTAAGAAATTCTTATACAAAGACTTAACCCTATAATCATGTATAACAATTTTCACATTCAAAATTTATTTTTTATACTTATTGATTTAGTGTTGGTGCTTTGTTGTCTAAACAATTTCAACTCAAATGTACCAACAGTTGTGACTTTGTTTACATTATGATAAATTTTTAAAAATCTATTTCAAAAAGATCAAATAAATACAAAAACATAAAGAAAGATGCTTAACTCTGCTCTATTTCTAGTTCTCTTTTACTGCTGGTAGATAGTAAGCCTGTGGGATCAAGAGCCAGATCTTTTTATCTTGCTTCAAGAAAAAAACTCCTCCAAAGATAATCAAGTGATGACTTGATTACTCTCTGGGTATTTGACACTGCTTCTCTTTCAGAATGATGAACATCTCAACTATTCTATGATAAGACAAATTATGTTGCTGTCTTACCAGTAATTCTGTTGACTTTCTTGTTTGTCAGACTTCCTGCAACTCCAGCAGCATGAGCTCCCAGGCTGTATCCTAAGAGATGGACATTGTCCAGTGGATAGTTGAATTCCTCCTGTGGAATGTAAAGAGAAAAAAAGAGATATTCTGAATCTTTACAAAGATTTAAAAAACAAAGGAAATAAAATTAATACATTTTTCAAATCATAGACAATACTAAAAATTAACTTTGTGTTACAGATACAAGAAAATATTTTGATGCTGACATTTCCTCTTTTTTTAACTATTAAAATTAGGCCTATCCATTCATTTGAAATATATGTATATCTATGTGCATTAATATATGTATATTAAGATGTTTTGATAGTATTTTACATATATGTATATGAAGTGTAAATTAATGTTATAATTTCAGATTAGAAAAACTTTCTTATTTAGTATTATATTAAAAATAGCCATAATATATGTTCATATACTGCAGCTTATAGAGTATATGTATAAAAAGATATACACATACAAATATATATAAAAACACACTTGACCTTAATGCATTATTTGCTATTCTAAATGTTTGTTATTTTAGTTTGTAAGGTTTTTCAGAAAGGGCTTAAAATCAGAGAATATGACAGTGGGAAGGAACCACATACACAAATGGTTCATTTCCTAATTCAAGTGCTGAGGCCCAGGGAGGTGACATGATTGCCCTAATTTATTTCTTAACTAGCAAAATTATTTTTTTAAAAAATTATTCTTTAATGATCAGTTCACTAAACAGAGCTTTTTTCCCCCCTGCAAGTATTTGATATAAGTAGCTTGGTTTTATTAAAGACTTCTTTTCAAGCATAGGTTTACCTTTCCCAGATAATTTTTCAGAAAATGACTTCAGAGTCAAAGGGAGCAAAACTGGTAAATTTTTTTACTAGAACTCCTGGTCCTCAGTCATCTCAGTTCCTTTCCTAGCTAAATTCTCCTTAATCCTCAACAAAATCTAAACTTGTGCCACACTAAGGAATAAGTGCTTCTAATACTTTTGTCAAAGAGACTACACTCTATCAGGGTGGTGGAGAACAATTGGCTGGGCGTGACATCTTTCCTCTGTGCTGAAATAATAAACTATTATTTGTCTCTTAACATACTTGGTTCTTGGTCATGGCTGATCTACTCACCATAGAAATGTCAAAGGATGAGGCAGAGCAGGACTATGCCTTGGTTTTATAGATATATAATTCTTATAATTATGTTGCTAAAAATTGCAATTGTGTTCATTCTGTAGACTTGAATTACCCCAGAAAATAATTATTTCTAAATGAAAAAGAAAGACTATGTTTTTCTAACTCTAGAAGAGAAATCCTTTTTGAACAGGTAAGTTTCCTTCTTCCAAACTTACCTCCATCCAGTTGATAAATCTGGCCACATCTTTTCCCACTAATTTTGTGTACCCTGCAGACACTGGATAATGTTGCTGAGCCCTTGACAGCCAGTTCACCACAATGACATTGGAGTCTGGTTCCCTCTTGTACAGGGCAGTCACAAGTTTTGGCACCCAACTCTCATACATTCCTGTCACCTAAAGAGAACAACACAAACTTTCTTAAAATACTCATTTGTACCTCATTATAGATGCACTGATCCAATGTACCTATATTAAATGAAAAACACACACCAGAATGTTGAGAGACTTGTGACTTCCCTTTCAAAAGCAAATTTAAGAATGCAAAAGAAAGGATAAAATCACAACCTTGGATTTATTTTTAAATATATTTTATAAATTCAACAAAACTCAATAATTTTTAGTATTAAAAAAATCACTGGGACTGGAGCAATAGCACAGCGGGTAGGGCATTTGCCTTGCATGTGGCTGACTCGGGTTCGATTCCCAGTATCCCATATGGTCCCCCAAACATTGCCAGGAGTGATTCCTGAGTGCATGAGCCAGAAATAACCCCTGAGCATCGCCAGGTGTGACCCAAACAAGTAAAAAAAATTACTGGATCGGATAATATTTTGCAGCATAATTACAGACTATTTTAAAGAAACTAGGTCTATCACTTTCAATTAGGAAAAAAAACTTTCTCAGCAATTATTGTGAGGACTAATTATTCTTGTGAAGAGATACTTATAAATAATATTTTATATTCTAATTTAAAAAAAACTTTTCAAAATACCATTTATCTGAGCAGAAAGTAAATTTCTTTAGCAATCTCTTACTATGGAAGAAATACTTTATAAATCATAAAAAGTGATCAGGTCAGATCAGATTTTTTTGGAAATTCTCTAACATTCTTAATTATCAGAGTAAAAAATTATGATGCTTAATAAAACAATTCCTAAATCAAGCCTGTCTGGAGATAAGCAGATCAACAAATGGGATTCTTAGTTTCTTTGTCAATAAGGGGCCCAAAATTCAAGGTCAAAAGATCTATGGGGTTCTCAAGTCAATTCTACATTATGTCAAATTTTGATTTGTACTTTGAGGGGAGACGCTGAACACCTTTGCAAATAGAAACACCTTAAAATATTTGAAAATCATGGAAAATTTTATTTTAAAATATCTCACTATCCTATCATGAGTTTGCACATGGCAACAAACTCAGTTTAAATCCCCAAATCTACCATCCCTAATATGACCAAGAGCGGATCATATTGTAACCATAATCAAGGTTACTCAATTATATAATCAACAAAGATTCTGAAAAATACGTTTAATGCAGCCTTTTGTTTGTTTGTTTGGTTGGTTGGTTGGTTGGTTGGTTAGGAGGCCACACCCAATGGTGCTCAGGGTTTACTTCTGTGCTTACCTACACTGAGAGATCACTCCTGCTGGAACTTGGGGAACCATATGTGGTGCCAGGGATTGAGCTGGTTAGCCTTATGCAAGGCAAATGCCTTTCCTGGTGTCCTGTTTCTCTGGCCCTTTAATACTGCTTTTAACAGGAGATTCATAAAACCTATATTCTTCCTGCTGTCGTTTCAATAGATAAAAAACAGAAGTCTTAAATTTCCAAATCAGAGAACTTCATGTGGAACTTTCATCTCTCTGTGGGTTCTTTTCAGGTTTATATTTCCTTTTTATTTGGTCTAGTCTTTATATTAGGATGATGAAGACATGACAATAAAAACTGCATAATTTTTCATATTATTGTGCTTTGTGGTAGGGAAAAACAAGCTTCTCAGAGACCCTGCTTCTAATACTACTCATTACTAATCATTTCTAAGACTATAGGCATTGTTTTAACCTTAGTAGATCACCTAATAAATAAGAAGTTGGGTCCATATAGTCCTGATTAGCCACCATCTCATAAATTTCTTTTGTGACAGATTGTGGTTCCTTAACTTCTTGAAGTGATAAAATGCTGGCTGTACAACTATTTCAGACATGAACATAAAACAAAGAAGAAAAGGTACAAAGGTCAACTTATTTCATGGGAAACTTATTTAAGCTTTCTTTAAATATGTTACAGTAAAACTTCTTCAAGTCTGGATGCAGCCCTGGCTCTTTGAGGGAAGCAGATAGAACAACCATGTAGAGTAGAAACCTATTCTTCTCTCTTTGAAATTATAAACTGGCAATATTTTGCAGCTAATTTTTCAGATAAGGTGGAAAAGCATTTCTTCATATCTTATAGTCATAGGTATCCTATCAATTGTCTAACAACTAATTAGACCCTCTTTTTTTTCTAAATTCAACAGAAAATAAGGCTGTTTAGTAACAGAGTGATAGCACAGTGGTAGAGCATTTGCCTTGCGCGCGGCCAACCTGGCCGAGCCAGGTTCGATTCCTCCGCCCCTCTCGGAGAGCCCGGCAAGCTACCGAGAGTATCTCGCCCCTATGGCAAAGCCTGGCAAGCTACCAGTGACATATTCAATATGCCAAAACACAGTAACAACAAGTCTCACAATAGAGATGTTACTGGGCCCGCTCAAGGAAATCTATGAACAACGGATGGACAGTGACAGTGACAGTAACCCTGAATAAAAGGGTGGGAAATCCAATATCCACCTACTTCAACTCTGAAAGAGTTTTATTTTTCACTAGGTGTTTCTTAGGCAATTCCTTAAATCAGTACCAATTCTTAAAACCTTTAATTATCAGATCTACAGCTGAACTGAAGGTCTCCTTGCTCCCTCTACCACATGGTTCTACCGACTCAGTCAGGAAGTTGAGAGAGGATGAGATCAGTGTGACTGAAGAAGTTAATGACTATACCATCCAGCTCTATACAAGGAAACTCAGCACATGGTCAGTGGAAAAACCTCTAAACGCTGGTACTCAAAATGTCAGGACACACAGCGTGGAAAAATACAAGTGAGCTTAAGGGTAATTAAAGCCAATGACAGTTACTAAAACTGTCTGCTGATAATATGTTGGGTGTATCATTTTAGTGTGAAAAGGTAATTTTATTTTCAAAATTTCCTAAAGTAGGACCAGAACAATAGTACAGTGGATAGGGCACTTGTCTTGCACACGGCCTACATGGGTTCAATCCCCAGCACCACAATTGGTTCCCAGAACTCCGCTAGCAGCGATCCTTGAACACAGATCTAGGATTAAGCCCTGATCACAGTCAGGTGTGGCCCCCAAACAAAAAAATTAAACAAAAAGACAAGTAGTCTGGATCAATAGTACCGCAGGCAGGGCATTTGCCTTGCACTCAGCCTACATGGGCTCAATACCAAGCACCAAAATGGTTCCCAGAGCCCCGCCAGGAGTGATCCGCGTCCACAGAGGCGAGAGTAAGCTCTGAGCACCATCAAGTATGGCCCCAAAACAAACAAACACACAAAATTTCCTAAAGTATAAAATTCTCTTAAAGATAAGATTAAGATACTTGAGTATTATTAAATTTTTCCTGTCGTATAAATAGTTAAGTTTAAACTGTTATGAGAAGGTTGAGTAAAGTTCTTATAGGCAAGCAAAATATCTCTGAAAACACTAAAGATTACTTTTTCCCACTTAAATATTTTTTTTATTTTTATTTATTTATTTATTTCTTGCTTTTTGGGTCACACCTGGCAATGCACAGGGGTTATTCCTGGCTCTGCACTCAGAAATTACTCCTGGCAGTTCTCAGGGGACCATATGGGATGCTGGGAATCGAACTCAGGTCGGCCACATGCAAGGCAAATGCCCTACCCGCTGTGCTATTTCTCTAGCCCCATTAAATCTTTTATTTTTAATATTTTTAATTTTCTTAATTTTGAGCTGCACTCCACTCAATACTTGAAGGTTATTTCCAGCAACAGTTGAAGGAACCAAGCAGAGCCAAAGATCTAACCTAAAACTCCTGCATGCAGTGAATTTTTCCCAGATTATTGAGCTGTCTCTCCAATACTAAAACCTTTTTAAGAAATTCATTTTTAGTGAATCAGTATAGTTTTATTGAAACTTATTTAGAAATATGTGAGGGAAGAGAGAGAAAAGTGTGTGTTCAAGAAGAATACGGGCTTCTCCAAAGTAGAAATAGAGACAAGCAAGTAAGATACATGTTCAAGGGAGAATACCAGCTTGAAGAGCAAGCCTAAAAATTTTGTTTGCTTTTTTATTGTAGTGATGTAATGCATTTACAATGGTGTTAACTTGCCAGTAAGGTGATATTTTACTACCACCACCAAAGTAGAAGATATTTGTCAGAAATTTGAATATATTTTTTACTAAGGTCTGAACTTAACTATATTAATAGAGACATTTCATTAAAATAAGAATCTATGTGAAATCTTCACTTGGTTGCCTTTATTGTCTTCGTCTCTGTAAAGTAATACCATGTACTCCTATACTGTCACTTTTTAGTCACTTAAGTTACATAGAAAAAGAGTGTCTTGTATATAACAATGATACGGTAACTGAGCTCATTTTAATTTGATGTTTGCTATCTATCCATAGTATCTAATATAACAGAAAATAATGTCTTTAACCACCTGCTGTTTCCTTAGTAATAATGAAATTTATTTACTAGGGATTGGTCATTTTAAAAACCAAAAGTAGTTAAACATAACCTACATCAAGAAAAATGACTATCTGGCAAATTTGGAGAAACTACTTCAGTTATATTTTTAGTTTTCACCCTTCCTAATCATTTTTCATGTTAGCTCCTTCACTAGGTCCCTACTATCTCTAGAAATGCTGCCTAAAATTTCTCACCGGAGAAGGTTGGAAATGGAGAAATACCTACCCAACCTCTTTATTTTATAGATCAGTTGACTGAAAATTAGAAATGAGAAGAAACATGATCTACATCACAGAGCTGGAGGTTAGCAAAGTCAATGCCCGGTAAAAAAGCTCCCACTAAACTCCAGCTCTCTCTTTGTTCTCCAGAAAAAGCCTTAGGCGAAGTGTTGGATGAAGTAGGATCTTGTCAGATTTCAGGTTTTCCCACAATGATTATCTACATTGTGCTCTATAGTTCAGCAAAACAATATTTTTCCATCTCACAGGAATGCTGGCTAAAGAGCAACATCAAGGTACTGGAGTCAAATGAAAGTCAACATTCTCTGAGAAAAGGATTTATGAATTTAGACATTATATTCCATAGTCCCACTCCCAATCAGAATTGTCTTTACTAATGATTAAACTCATAGAAAAGTAAGCATGAATATGGATCTGCACCCGATCATGGGATTCCCAACAATCCACTCCTTCCTAAAAGCTTCTCTTACTGTCCAGCCATGGATCACCACGAAAGTTTTGCTGCTGTGGTTGAACTGGCAGTTAGCCACGGATTCTGTCACTCCAGGAACAAGGTGACAATTGTCCTCAGCCGTGTCTTCAGGGGTCCTTAGGGCAAATTTGCTTTCAATGTCCATAAAATCTTTTCTTCCAACATTTCCTGAAAAGGGGAAAAATAGAGAGGTGGTTAACTGAAGAGCTGTCTTATTCGTTTTTGTTTTTGTTTTTTTAGCAGAATGATGGTTTTAGGTTAAAAGCAAGTATTACCAATGTTAGTTATGTTCCTAAAGTTTAAAAAAAAATGTGCATTTCAAGTGTATAATTGATGCTTCAGTGGTGATTAAAGTTAACAAAAATAACCTTAAAATAGCTATGAAGTATATATATGCATATATATATATGTCCCAAGGGACATACATGCCTTATATTGCCTTATATTAAAACAAATATCTTGCACATGTGTGATGTTCTAAGTTCAACCAACAAATGTGGCCCTGGTGACCTCCAAGGACTCACACTTGGTGCCCAACCACAGGAATGGCCCTTAAAAATAACTCAGTTCAGAAATTCTGATTTTTTTCCAAATATCTTCCATCCTCTTCTTTAGTCAGTGTGTGTGCATGTGTGCATGTGAATGTGTGTGTGTTGATATATAATTTCATATAAATGCACTGCTCTTTGGAATTTCTTAGCCAGTTTTCTCTAGTATATATTTTGACATTTAAGTTAGTCAAATTTAGGTTATGCTGCTAATTCTGGAAGAGATAGTAGGGAAACAGAATGCTAGTCTCTTGATTCTTATTCATAGTCCTAGAGAATACTGACTGACAATTTTTTTTGTGTTATACAGTGTTTTTTATCTTTAGGTTTCTGATTACATCAAAAAATTGTTTTCCCACAATATTGTATAATACAGCTTGTTTAAGGAAGACTGTTTCTTTCTCAGTAACAGAGTCTCCTGTCCCCGCACCTTGCTGTCCTTGCTGGGGTCCCTTGCAGGGGGGCAGGTAGAGTTTCCCTCCCTGCCCCAAGCAGAGCTCCAGCAGCCGAAGACCTCCAGAACCAGTCACAGCCATGCTGAGATCACTCTCCACACGCATGAAGGTACCAGCAGAGGAACAAAGGTCTCGGGGCTGAGATCTCCAAGCCTGCTTGGGTCGGGGCTGAGCATCCTCCACCCGGATACTCCATCCTCCAGTAGGCAAGAGTCATACCCAACAACTGACCCCCAGCGCCGTGTAATCCCATCAACAGCCAAGACCTAGAGACTATAAAACCCAGCTCCTGGGAGCACGTGGCTGCATTTGCGGCCGCACAACTATTATCTCATTCTTACTTTGACAACCTGGAGGCTACCGAATGTAACCTGACCATACAGCAGAGTCTGGCAAACTCCCCGTGGTGTACCCAATATGCCAAATAATAGTAACAATGATGGGTCTCATTCTCCTAACCCTGAAGAGCCTTGAATATGGCACTTTTTAAAATCTCAGGGCTAGGACGAAGGAGACATTACTGGTGCCTGCTCGAGGCAATCATCGAACAACAGGATGATCGTGATCGTGATGGTGATTTAAAAAATATTAGTAGCAAGAAAATGTCAATGCATGAGAAATCTTTTGAATGGAATTTTTTTAATTGATAGCAAAAGGATCAGTTCACAATATTTTTTTAAAAAAAGTATTTCGTGTATTGTTAAGAAATATATGAAATATATGACTCCTACTTAATTTCTAATGTATTTACTTTCCAAATTATTATTTTGTAGCTTTTTCTGAATAGTTCAAATTAAATTGAAACTTAAGCACAAAAATGTGTAAGTCTGCAACTGTACCTCATGATGTCTCACTATTAAAAAATTCTTTAATAAAATAAAAAGCTATAATAACACTGGTTTTGGAAAGAATTCACTCTAACACTTCATAGTTAATACCAAAATGAATAGGAGAAAGAGAAGTTCAATCTTTTGACTCCCCAGTCAATCTGTATAAAGTTTGATAAATCCTCATAGCCATTTGTAAACAGTAACATGTAAAATTGTAAGGAATGCTCAAAATAAACAATATAGTAAAAAATAAACTGCAATGAAAAAAGAATAAATCAAATAAATATAAAATAAAATAAGCAAATAAAATCAGGCTTTATGAACAGTATTCGATATGCCAGACACAGTAACAACAAAGTCTCCAATGGAGACGTTACTGGGCCCGCTCGAGCAAATCGACGATCAACGGGAGGGCCTTTATGAACAGTCAAAGGGACGTTATATTAGGGGAAATTGTTTAATTTCTTTTCAAGTAAAAAAAAAGGTCAGGGGCTGGAGCGATAGTACAGCAGGTAGGTCATTTGCCTTGCACACAGCTGACCCAGGTTCAATCCCCAGCATCCCAGATGGTCTCCCCAGCATTGCCAGGAGTAATTCCTGAGTGCAGAGCCAGGAGTAACCCCTGAGCATCGCTTGGTGTGACCCAAAATGCAAAAATTTTAAAAAATTAAATTAAATTTTAAAAAAGTCAAATAAGTCTATCAATTCAATATATGAATATAAGAAGTTAGTATTTGGAACCAGAGAGATAGACCAATGAACTGAGCACATACTTTGCAGGTGGAAGACCTGGGTTTGACCCCTGACACCCCATGATCCCCCAAGCACAGCTGGGAGCAACCTCTGAGCACAGAGCTGGGAGAAGCCCCTGAGTACCCCAACTGTGTCCCCAAAATAAAAAACAAAAGGTAAAAAGGTAAAGGCCCTCCCGTTGATCGTCAATTTGCTCGAGCGGGCCCAGTAACGTCTCCATTGGAGACTTTGTTGTTACTGTGTCTGGCATATCGAATACTCTCGGTAGCTTGCCGGGCTCTCCAAGAGGGGCGGAGGAATCGAACTCGGGTCGGCCATGTTGGCCACTTGTAAGGCTACCGCTGTGCTATCACTCCAGCCCAAACAACAAAACAACAACAAAAAAACAAAGATGTTCCTACATATAGATTTTAGATTTTAGATTTCACTATTCAAAAGCTTAAGGAGGTAGCTAAGTTTGCTTAAAATACTTCTAATTTCTTGATCTTACCTACATTTTACAATTCAAAATTTGAAAATATGTATCCTGAAACAATATAGCAAAACTAAAACCACAAAAAAATAACAATGAAGGATTAAATTAAAAGACATACATGCATTAGATAGAATCAGACAGATAATTTATTCATGAGGACTGGCCAACATTTTACTTTTCAATTGTCTTCTAGAATTTCTAAACAATATTCTAGTTACTTGCTTATTCTTTATATGGAGCAATTTGATCTCATACAAACATACACTCATACATATCTCTGCCTATTCTAAGACCATTTGCTCAAATAAATTATTCAAATAAAAACTTAAAGCTCTTATATTTTCATTTTAATTACCAATGATTAAATTAAAATCCATTAATGCATCAATAATATCTCAGTCTCTCATCTTATCTGAAGTTGTAGATCTTTTTCTTTTTCATTCCTACTCAGAAAACACTGTAGTGGCCTTGTCTTTTTAAAGTGAAAAAATGCTTTTGGTTTTTAATCTGATTTTGTTTTAAATCCCCAAGTTGTTCTTTTATGACTAAGAAGTACGTTAAAATATTCAAAACTAAGTTAGTTTCATTACCTTCCATATATTTGTTCAATCAACTTATTCAAGCTTTCTAGCAATCTTATTTAACATATTTGATTAGCAATCTTTTTAAAGAAAAATTGTATGAGCAACCTGACGATTTCTCCTGCCACCTATTTGTCAAATTGAAATTTAAGAAGAGAACTAATCCATGGGCCAGAGAGATAGTACAGCAGGTACTGTACATTTGCACCGCAGTTTCAGTCCCCACAACCCATATGGTGTTCCAAACCCCACCAGGATGGATCCCTGATAGCAGAACCGGGAGTAAGACCTGAGCAGTACCAGACTTGGCCCCCTCCAAAATAGTTACACTGTTAAAGAGGATGCCACTCACTTTTAGTCTTTTTTCCCTAGAATTAGATCTGGTGTTGCAGTGGTTTTGAAATGATAGAATATTCTTTGAGATTAGTGAAGTGTGCTTTGTAAATTGCCCCTCTCCTATCCAACACAAAAATCTATTCAATGCACAGATGTTAATTCAGATTATCTTTTATGTTTATTGAGAGCACATATTTCCTACTGTCAATGTTTTCTGTTAGGTCTGTAAATTGTTGGGTTTTTTTTAATAAAAAAAAGAATTTATACACAATCAAGCAAATTTGCATTTGGAAAGACTTTTTAATTTTTTTTTTGGCTTTTTGGGTCACACTGGCGATGCTCAGGGGTTATTTCTGCAAATCACTCCTGACAGTGCTCGGGGGATCATATGGGATGCCAGGGATTGAACCCAGGATATCTCCTATGCAAGGCAAATGCCCTACCTGTTGTACTATCACTCTGCCTCCATTGGAGAGACTTTTATTTCACTTTATTCTTAAATTTACCCAAGTACCGGGAGATAGTTCAGAGGTAAGAAGTTTTCCTTGCATATGGCTGACCATGGTTCAATCACCAAACCCTATAAGGTCTCTAGATCTCCACTAAAAGTGATACTAGAGCAGAAAATCAGGAGTAAGTAAGCACTAGCACCACCAGGTATGGTCCAAACCTGCTGTCCCCCCCAAAAAAAAAATGTTATGCAAAGTATAATGAAGCCTTTGGTAGAAAATTAGTACCCTTCTATATGTTACGTGATATTTTCATATAGGAAGTCGTAATTGTTCTCAGCACTTAGTCTTTGTGTCATAGGTGTTCTGATAGGAATTTTCACACTACTTCTGAGACATTTACCCCTACTGAATGTCTCAACATCCTAAAAATAAACAGATAAATATACTTTTTCAAACCTATACTAACCTACACATAACTGAATATGTGTATAACCCTGAACGTGAATCTCAGGATCACCATGCCATCATATTCCCATCAAACATGTCATAATTAGCTACTAAGGAGAGTGACAAGTTAATGCGCTGTGGGGGTGAGGGGGTCAGAGCCAGAAGTAAGCCAGTGGTACTTTGAGACTTACTCCTGGCTATGTGCTCAGGGATCACTCCTGGTGATGCTCAGAGGACCGTATATGATAAAATTGAGGTCAACTCTGCAAGGCACGCACCTTACCCTCAGTACTGTCTCTCTTCCCCAAATCAATGCATTTCTTAACTATATAATCTTTATACCAAAATTTTTAGTATATAGTTAAAATATGTGTATAAACAAAAACAATAAATTTATCTTAACATAGATAATAATTCATGGAAATGAAATTTGGCTAAGTAAGGTTCTTTAAAGATAAATGTATAATTTCACTAATAAAAAAAATTTTTTAAAGATAAATGTATAGGGGTTATGCTATTAGTGCTATAAAGAGGAATGTTGATGCAGCACTCTTTATAATAGCCAGAAACTGGAAGAAACCTGAATGCCCAAGAACAGATGACTGGTTAAAGAAACTTTGGTACATCTACACAATGGAGTACTATGTAGCTGTTAGAAAAGATGAAGTCATGAAATTTACATACAAGTGGTACAATATGGAAAGTATCATGCTAAGCGAAATGAGTCAGAAAGAGAGGGATAGACATAGAAAGATTGCATTCATCTGGGGGATATAAAGTAACAAAGTATGAGATTAATACCCAAGAATAGCTGAGATCAGCACCAGGAGGATTACTCCATAACTTAGTGGCCAGCCGGGTATCCTAGAGGAAAGGGCAGTTCAGATAGAGAAAGGAGCACCAAATAAAGGGTGTTTGGAGGATCCTCCCAGGAGGGGAGATGCATGTCGAAAGTAGACTATGGACTGAACATGTTTGCCACTCAATGCCTCTTTTGCAGACCACAACACCCAAAAGGAGAGAGAGAACACAGGGGATTGCCCTGCCACAGAGGCAGGGGGGGATGGGGGGATGGGGGTGGGGGGATATTATCCATGGTGGTGGAAAATGGGCACTGGTGGAGGGATGGCTATCTGATCATTGTATAATCGAAACCCAAGCACAAAAAATTGTAAATCTACAACTGTAATAAAAAAAAGAAGAAAAAAATATCACCCGTATCAGTAAAAAAAAAAAAAAAAAGAGGAATGTTGAATATTCCAGGATACTTAAGGGTGGTTTATAATTATCAGAATCATAAAATTAACATTACTATGTAAACATAAAGATTGATCATAGTGACATACTCTTCCAAGTTTCTATTTTTTCTCTCTCTCTAATACACACATACAGACACACACACACACACACACACACTCCAAATGAACCTGATTAGCAATTCATCTCTGATTAATGTTATAGTCATTAACTCACATCTTCTATAGAATGATAAAAAGGACATAAGTTGAATTGGTCAATTTGGTAAGAAAAAAACCTCAATATTTATATATGATTGAACAGAATCATATTTAATATTTAATACTAATATATGATTGAATATTATCATATTCAACCAAGGCTATTTCCTACTTCGATGTAAACAATGCTTTTGACTTTTCTAACCAACATAATTATTTTTCCTTTGTATTGAAACAATTGCAAAAGTAGAGACAGTAAATTATGCATTCAATGTTCTTGCATAAGAATAAAGCAATAGAAGGCTGAGCTAAAAATACATGACCTGAAAAAAGTGAAAATTTTTCATTCTTAGGAGACTGACTCCCACCTCTCAATACCAGTATTAATCAATCACTCTGCATCATGCCAAAGTGTCATCTGTTATTTCACTATCATCATCAGTCAAGCTAAACTCCAATATATGCCTGAAAATTGACCATGACAAATAAAATAGAACCACAGCTACTGGAAATTGTCATTCATGCTCAGCCTTATCAAGTGTCCCAGTGAGGCCTTGTTGAGATTATGGTAGCTCCTCAATGTATTTACAACCAAAAAAAGCTTGGTTAAAATCTAGTTTTACCCATTTAAATCTAATTAATACTTGTTTTGAGGGACCTAAGAGACTTTCAGTTTGATTTAAATGCACTACTTTAGAGATGAGAAAGCTAAATCAGATAACACAGATTAGCCAAAGAGTTTAGTGCCAGAAAGTAAACACTTAAGTGAGTTGAACAAAACCTTCCACAAAAAAGTAGATGTGTGTGTGTGTGCCTGTGTTTATGGCAAAAGTAACTAGTAAAGGTATAATATTATGTACTTTATGAAATAAGGATTTGAATTTTGTTACTTGCATGCTCTTGATATACAGAGGAACATGTTCCACCCAAGATGCTAAAGACTTTCTAATAGAATCTCCAGTGCTCTCAAATTGATCTGAAGAACAGAACCAAAAGAGTCTTGTAATTTTGTCCAATTCAGCTGTTTACTCTAACAAAAATCTGAGGAACAGAACCAAAAAAGCCTTGCATTTTTATTCGATCTAGCATTTTATCCTAAAAACTCCTTCAAATACACACACATACAGGCGCGTGCGGGCACACACACACACACACACACACACACACACACTTCAGCACAGAAATAAAATTTTACTTGCAAACTGGCTAGGAGCAAGTCGCTTCTAACTTAATCACTGTGTGAAAACCACCTGAATGCATATCCACAGGCCACCAAAAACAATGCAGAGAAGACGTTGCTTCTTTTCAATGATTTAATTGGTTGCCTTTTGATCGCTGCTGTCTGCTATCTGAACCGAGGCTAAAGTTATGCCTCTGTTGTGAGCTGACCTCGCTTGGACCCTCATCTGAGCAATAAAGAAATTGGCAGGCAAGGGAACCCTTAACCCTGGACTGCCTCCTTTTGCGTGGTCTGCGCCCCAGACCCTGAGTCCCCAGCTTCTGGGCCCCCTTGGCTGGAGGCCAAGTTACCCAGCTGCGCTCCCGAGCAGGGTTCGACTCAGAACCAGGGGAAGAGAGCAAACCGCTAAAGCCCACGCCAGCACTGCCAAGGACCGCTGTTCATTGCATTTTTCGGGAAGGGCAACTCTTCAGTAGGTTTTTCTGGGCACCAAAAATAATCCAAATGTGCCAGAGTGGAAGCCTCTTCCCGGCCCTGGAGCGGAGAGCAAGCCGCCCTCAGGGATCCCTGCAACGGTCTCCTGGGGGGTGGCGGGGGGGAGGGGGGACGGCCGCTTCCCGCCGCGCTCCGGACCCCAGGCCCGCGCAGACCGCGGTCCCGCCAGGGTCACCTTGGTCAGCGCATTCCATTCGTGCCAGCACCCAACGCACTCCCCCCAAAATACCCCCCCCGGCCACCTCTGTCCCGTGCGGGCTCAGCCGATTAAACGGATTTCATTTCTTAGTTAAACTTTAATATGTAAAGCCTGCTAGTTCAAATCTTAGGGGCTTTCTTCTTCTTAATAGAGTTGGGAGAGAGAGGGAGCGGGACCGAGAGGGGGGTAGAGACAGACAGAGAGAGAGACAGACACACAGACAGACACACAGACAGACACACAGACACACAGACACAGACAGACACACAGAGTTGGCAGCTGCCTTCTGTGGACTTTGGAGAGCAGAGGCTCAGAGGAGGGTTTCCTTTCCTGCCCCTAGCGTCTTCAGCGCTCCGGCTAGGAAAATTCTCCCGGCTCCTCTTCCCGTCCACAGAATGCAAGGAGGTGTCCCTTGCACAGGTGGGGGAAGTCTGCGTGCAAAACTTACTGTCGGCGGTGGCCACCCCTCCGTGGGGGGCTGTTAGGATCTGGAACCACACACCCAGAACCACCAGGAGCCAGACTTTGCTCTCCATCTCCCGGCGGCGCCTCTCCCTGCAAGAGTTCCGGGCACTCGCTGGCTGACTCGGAGACAGGAATCAGCTGGAACCCGGGTCCGACAGGCGCGGGGACAAGTGGTCCTCCTAAAGAGGAGGACAAGACTGCTAAGAAGTGGCCGGGTTCCTCTCTGGGGTATGACAGTTTCCACCCCACTGCTGCTTATGTGAGTGGAAATATGCAAATAAACCGCATACTTATTGGCTATTAAAATCTTAAGTTGGGGGGGAGGGGGAGGGCTCTAAAATCACTTCCAAATGTTTGAGCAAACTGCAACGAGAATCAAACCTGCCAAGGAGAAAAGGGGGAAAGGGCAAGAGGGAAATTTTGCTCTTTTGCTTTCTCTGTGCTTTATCTAATGGGTCTGGCTCTCCAACGCTGCCTGTATAAGACCCAAGTACGGTTGGTATGGATGTGGATTTAAGTAAGATAGTCTTCCATCAGCAGTTTGCCCAGGAGGGAATATTTAAACTGGTAAAATATGTTTTGTTGGTGCATAAACTCAGGACACGTTGCCCTGGAGCTGATCCTTGCACAGAAAACTGTTTAAAAATGGCAAATGTGGTGCTGAAAAGTCCTCCCGCTGGAATTTTGCATCAAGCATATTGTACCCAGTCATCAAACGCTTCAGAGAATGCAAAAGAAAATGACCTGAATGTTTAAAGTGAATACTTTATGGGATGGAAATTATATATTAAAAAGTCTATTTGAAAAAAATGCATTGAAGTTTGTAAGCATAAGGATAAGAATGCAATTATAAATGATACTGTGGGGGGGGGTTGACAAAATTCTCAGATAGTTTGATACACTTTTACACATAAGATTTGCAGTAAGTTGTAATGACAATTGACTGTATTCTTTACAGAAAAACAAGTTCATAAGTCAAAACAGCTAGTTCATTGTGTATGTTGGAAATCTTCCTTCTTTTTCTTATCTTTTCTCTACTCTCCTCCTTTCTCTTTCTTCTCAGACCTTCTTTGTTCAATTCCTTTCTTCTTCCCCACTCTCCTTTATTTCCCTTCTCTCACACACATATACACATGCACACAATCTATATTTATGTCTCAGAAGAATAAAAGTTCAACAATTTAAGCTAGACTCACATTTTAAATCTTACTCAAAAATAAAACTTCACTGTCAATACCCCAGTAACTAAAAGCTTACTTTTCTCTAGAATGCAATTCTTTCTTTAAGTTGACTGATTTAAGGGCATAGCATAATACATGGTCTTTATTGTAATTATTAAGCAATGTATTATATAATTCATCCTATCTTATATACCATGGAGAGAAACCTTCAGACACACCAAGAATTAAAATTCTAAAAACTGTAGAAGTATCACAAGAGAACACACAGGAGATAAATTTAAAACTGTGTTCTAAAAAAAATTACCATAATAAATCCCAATTTTATAAAATTGCACAGGATAAATACAATCACATTGGTGTACTCAAGCACAAATAACATATAAACAAAAGTGTGAGTACTTATGCAATCTATGGAAACTGATACAATCAAACAATATGTACTCTGTGCCTTTCAGAGAACTGCAAGAAAATTTTATGTAATTGCTAAAAGATTTTAAGCCTGACAGTCATAGCACTTTTATCTTTTATTTTTATTTTTTTATAAGAGCAGACCATTGGTTTTATTATCCCTTGCAAAATGCTACACATTTATTACATCAATAAAGTATGTAATAAAATATCTAATACATTTCTACAAACTTCAATATTAAAAAATTGTTATATATCTTTATATAAAGTTCTTATAAATAAAATGTTTATGATTTAGATAAATTATATATTTTATATAAAGCATATAAATAACCTTGATGTGTAGCTAGCTGTGTACACAGGCATATATATTTAATGTACACTAAATTTTATATATTTAATTACATAGTACATCAAATATGTAAATTGTTTTAAATATAAATATATAACATAATTGATGCTTTGTATCATTAATGTATACTTATCTTTTATATATTATATAATTAATAACATGATATACTTTAATGTGTTTACTATAATAAACTGTCACATTGAGCCACAGCATGCCTTTCTGTCTCTAGTATACACACATGTATATTTGGCATGTATACATTAATAAGTATACTTATGTTTCTGAGATCCAGTAAGGATTTACTAGTTCTCTAATGTTTGGTGGTTATTTTTTATTCTAATTTGGGGCGCTGCTGGGCCACATCTGGAGGTGCTCAGGACTTTTTCCTGGCTCTGAGCTCAGGGATCACTCCTGGTGGCGCCAGGGGGACCATTTGGAGTGCTGGGGACTGAGCCCGGGTCACTTGTGCAAGGGAAGTGCCCTCCCCGCTGCCCTATCACTCTGGACCTTGGTTGTTTCTAATAGGACCGTGGTTGCTTCTAATAGGACAGTGGAAAGTCCTGCAGTCTGGGGGACAGTTCCCCCGTTACTTCTGGGTGACTTGCTCTGGGGACCATGCAAATGCAGCAACTACAAGTGTCGGGAACAAAGTATTCTTGGGAGGGAGGTGGCGCAGGGAGTTTTGGGCACAACCAGCTGTGCTCCAATTTCCTGGCAGTGCTCAGGGGTCATAACATTTTTAAAAGAAATTTCCAGATTAACAGAAAACAAAAATTTAGAAGTACTTGAAAAAGAAACAAACGGTTTAGAAGTGGTCTGCATCATTTATGCTGCATATCCATTAAAACTGCAAAGATTTCCAGGAAGAATAAATTCGCAGCAGCTCAAAATGGTAGAAAAGCAGACAAAGTGCCTCCAATCCACCGAGTGGTGAGTGGGGGGGGGGGTGTGGCAGCCAAGTGCTCTTGTGATTGGTGACTCTCAGAAGATTGGGGGTGGACCCACGGGATCTCCAAGTCTGGGCTGCAAATGCTTTAACACATTCAGAGATAACTTCATTTTTATTTTTTTGTAGGAGTACTGCTATTTATTCAGCCATTGATTAGCCGATTGAATTGGGCATGAACTCCACCTTAATTTTTTTAATTTTTTTTATTTTTATATTTATTTATTGAATCACTGTGGGAAAAGTTACTAAACTTCAGACAAAATATTAAAAAAAAAAAAGTCCCGTACTAAAAAGCAGACGTGACACGGAAAAGATAGGTTTGAAGTGCCCCCTGCTGTCATCTGTTACATGTCCAAAACGACATTTTAAGAGACTTGGAACAAACTGGCTTAATGAATCATTAAAGTCTTGTATTGTTGAGGTTTTCTTGTTGAATTACATGTATTCTTCTTCTCACCCACCTCTGTGCTACTTTTCACAACATCAAACTGTCCTGGGAAGTAGATGCTTCTAAATCAATTATATGTGGGTAAATTAACAACAGAGTAACGGGGGTAAAATCTAACTGGAGAAGAAAGCAAGACTTGGAAGAGGGAAAGGGGCACAGCCAGCGGTGCTCAGGGCTTATTTCTGCTTCTGTGCTCAGCTATCATTCCTGGTGGGCTAGGGAACCAAACTCAGACCGGTCCAAGCAAATAGTGCCCTACTGGCTTGCTCCAGTCCCGTCAGCAGGATTTTAAGCTTAAAAGACTCACTTAGGAAGACAGAGAAGGGACCAGTATGACAATAGTAGCTGGAAATGATCACACTGGACAAAAACTGAGTGTTAAAAGTAAATGAAGAGATATAACTGATAGCCTTTCAGTATCTGTATTGTAAACCACAATGCCCAAAAGGAGAGAGACAGAGACAGAGACAGAGACAGAGACAGAGACAGAGACAGAGACAGAGAGACAGAGACAGAGACAGAGAGAGGAGAAAGAGGGAGGGGAGAGGGAGCAAGGGAGCAAGAGAGAGAGAGAGAGAAGAAAAGTGCCTGCCACAGAGGCAGGCTGGGGGGTGGTGTGAGGGTGATAGGGAAACTGAGGACACTGGTGCTAGAAAATGTACACTGGTGGAAGAATGGGTGTTGAAACACTGTATGACTGAAACCTCATCATGAACAGCTTTGTAAGGGTCTCTAATCAGTGATTCAATAAAAAAATTAAATTGTTTTTAATATTCACTTAAAATATAAAGCTGAAAACACCCACACACAATCACCCCTCCATGTTGTTATTTAGTCTGGTTAAAACAAATCTGGATTGGGGAAATGGAAGACATCTTCTGACTAGAGAATTTTTTTTTTTTGCAGACCTCACATATTTTAGTTCGTATTTATAATTAAGTAGTTTAAAACAAACAAACAAACAAAAAGTACTCTTGCTTCAGCCTCTCCCACAAAACCCAAAAAAGGCATGAAAGGCAAAAAACAAAATTTTGAGCAGCACAAAAGCATATGCAATTAAACAAATTGACACTGGGATTGTTTTGACAGACCTCCAATATTCTCTAGTCTCTCCAGAAGCTAGCTCTGTCTTGAATCTCTTTCCCGAAAATCCAAGGATAATGTGTTTTAAAATTTGTGTGATCTGGGGACTAGTTTCTTCCACGTAACATAATGTTTTCAAATTCTACCTATATTAAGCATAAATTGATACTTTATTCTTGTAGTCAAATATTTCATTGCATATACTTATGCATGTATTAGTTGATGGACATTTGAGCTACTCCTACTTTTGAGTTTCTGTGAATAAATCTGCTGTGTCTTTTGGTGAACAATATAGTTATCATTCTGCAGATACACACGGAGGAACAGAATTGCTGATTTTTATCAAAAATGCATATTTAAATATGTGTAGTAGTACTTCTTAATTGTTATACTTAAAATGTGACATGATTTACTGTCATTTATTGTATGAATTGTAGACCTCCCAAAGTTGAGGATAATTCTAATTCATAGCTTCTCTCTCTTTATGATAAAATACAGGGCTGAGTACCAGGATAAGCACTCAAACATTTATTTGAAGAGATTACTGGATACAAAGAAGAAAAGAATGGTCTGAAGAGTAAAAGTCATTATAGTACCAAAGCATTATAACGATTAACTGAAAATGTTGTCTTATAGAAGTTTGTGTCTGAATATGAAATATATGACTATGAAACACAACAGTTATTCACAAATTAATAAAAGTTAATGCAGAAAGACAGAACAGAATCATATCAAACGTATACAGATTTGAGTTTGCATTGCCATAATACTTGTAAAAATATGACTTTTCATTT